TTTTAAAGCTCTGAGGAATTAAAAGATTTAAAAGAATTAAATATTTAAATCTTTTAAATCTTTTAATTCTTTTAAATATTTTAAATCCCCAAAGGACGTGAGATTCTGGGAACCTCTTGGGATTTAAATCTTTTAAATCTTTTAAAGCTCTAGAGAATTAAAAGATTTAAAAGAATTAAATATTTAAATATTTTAAATCTTTTAACGCTCTGGAGAATTAAAAGATTTAAAAGAATTAAATGTTTAAATCTGTCAAATCTTTTAATTATTTCAACTCTTTTTATTCTTGTAAATCTTTTAAATCTATGAAGTCTCAAGCAGCCAGCATATGCATAATATGACCTAAAGGTCCCTCATACATATATATATACTATAATATATATATATATGCATATAATATACAAATCATATTATCATATGTAGCTGACTGTAGAGGAAGGTGCGCAAAGGTGAGGATCTGTGGATATGTCCTACACTGTCCTACACGCGCGTGTCCAGGCAATCCCAGCGAGAAGTTCGCTTGGCAAATCCGCAGATGTTCATTGTATCTTTTTGAAGTAGATCAGTTGTGATTAATTGTGTGTATATATATAATATACATATACATATAATTATGATCCGGGTTGAAATATAGGGGGAGACGTTGTGACCCCTCATTTTATTAGTACAGACCTCGGGCCTTACCCTGGATTGTTACAAAGTAAAAATCCACTATCAAAACAAACCTACTACAAAATGAAAAACCAGGGTCCAGGTGCATCAACATAGGCTTGCTACAAAATGTTATGCCCAACGGTTTTGTTTAAACTTCAAAATCCAACATGTTACCTCTTGCTTTGTCGCAGGTCATTTTGTAGCTATTAAATCCTTCTACCCATCCAGTGGAGGGATTTCATAGCTATGGGGCAACAAAACGGATCTGAAGTTTACAGTTTCAAGTCAATTCATTGACTTACAGAAGAAACTACACATTTTTAATTTCATTGCCAATAAAACAAAAGTTTTAAATTGTTTACGGGGCCTACTGTAAAAGCAAGGTGCTACAGATTCGTTGTTTAATGTTTTCCCAAAAAGGATCAGCTACAAAATGGTTCAAAATGGTTTCACAGCCTGACAATGTAACTGCAAAATGCTTGTGTCAGGCAAAAAGGTTGGCTGGCTGCGCATTTTGCTGTCAACATGCCCCAAACATTCTCCTGCTACAAAATGACATGCATTGCACATGTCTTCTTCTTGATTGCCAACAAACAAACTACAAAATGTTTTCCGGGTCAAACAGCAAGTTGCTACAAAATGGTCTGGGTTTTTTATGTTATCATATGTTATCCAAGCAAGAGCAGCTACAAAATGGCTTCACAGCCTAACCATATAAAGCCACACACAGCCTTAAAAAAACTACTTTGCTACAAAATGGTAGCCCTGGGTACATTTTTCAAACCCTGTTTTACTGATAAAGTGGATTAGGTTGTACGCCCGGGGCCCTTCAATCTGTAGCTGAAATTTCAACGCGGATTAATTATGTGTGTATATATTATATGAAAAGGTCATTTGAAGGATTTAAACGAAACAGAAGATTTGGGGAGATACTATGTTTGAATAGGAAAGACCAGGAAAGTGTTACACCTCCCATTTCCCCAGATTTTGACCGCCAGGTCGCATCATGAGTCCTTCCAGTAGCCAGACCGTGGGCTGCCTTGGATCAAAGTCGGGACATTGCCGCAGTCGCCAGCTCCAGTCCTCTCCGGAGGAGAAATCCGTGGGCACCGCAGTGCGGCTCTGGACCCTTAGGGTCTCACCCTCCAGGAGAGGTTCTTTGTCCTGGAAGAGGATGGGAAGGTCCACCTGAGAAGAACGGGATTCCATGCGATTCCATGGGATTCCATGGGCTTCCCGGTTCATGAATTTACGATCCCCAATGAATATGGGGTAGCAGCGGGTAGCATAGTCCCAAGATGTCCCAAGTAACCAACAGGATGCAGGTCGCTGGAGGCTGGAAGTGTTTCAATGATGGATGATCATGATGATCATCATTGTCCGCATTCAAACGGCCATTTGGGATCTACACTCCTTTTCCGACACATCCAGATGTTTGGATGTTTCAAGGGATTGGAAATTGCCAAAGGCTGCTTACTTATTGGGGATGTGTTGACTTTTTCAAGGCTGATTTTTATATATTTTTATGAGCAAACAGATTGGAGACTGGACAAGTACACCCATACATCCACGAGCAGATTTCCTCTGCCCATGATGTCAGCAGCTCTGCTGAAGGTGAATCCTCTGTGATCATCTGTGTGCAATGATGTGCGATGGTGTGCCTGCCAAGAGATCTAAGATAAACCAAGAAATTCGCCAATTTGCAAATACCCGGTAAACTAATATAACTATATGGAAAATCACCATTTTCCATGGGTAAATCCACTATAAATGGCCATATCCGTGTGTTGTTCAGAAATCCGCACCTCAAAGACTTTCAGTTCCGGCAACCTCAAGCGATATGCCCGTGCATCCATACCAGCACCCAGCAAAACGAGCTGTCGAACTCCACGTTGCGTGTAGTGTTCGATGATGAAATCGTCACCAAACCTCGTGCGGGGCACCATGATCCAATCTCCCATGGGTTGCTGTAAGCCTTCAGGGCCCGCCAATTTCGAAGCTAACGGATCCACAAACAAAGCGTCTCGTCGTTGACTTTCCAGAAAACGGCTACCTGAGAATGGGTGATCAAAAGAGGCCCTGTCGAATTTTGCATCGCCATTGTTGAAGTAATACTCTCATGGAGCTCACCAAACACATCCAAATCTGTACTGTTAAGATCGGTTAATCTACACGGGGGCACGGGGGCGAACAATCACAAAGCCCCAGATATTCCACACGTACCCCTGATAGCCACAGCCCCTCTGTTGATATTTTTTCCTAGCAATCTTGTCAGTATATCACAGTCTCATTCATCATTCTTGGTTCTGTCCGATTCTATCCCTAGTCTGCCATATGTATATATGTATATGATTGTATATGTATGTATATAATCCCAACTGGTTCCCGCTCAACTTCCTTTTCTCCCCATTTGCTGGTAGAATCCCCCACATGTCTACAGAGATCCTCTAATTGTGCATATCAAACCCTCAATTTGAACAAACATCCTGTACCAGCCCAAAATCAACCTCTCAACACCCACAAAATCAGGCCCAACCGAATCTAAGCCACCTGCACACATCTTGGCAGTGAAGGCATGTGAAGCCTTAGGCATCTTCTGAGCATAACTTCGTGGCATGGGCGTCTTAGCTGCAAAGAGCACAGCAGCCACCGCGAAAGCACGACGGAGGCTGGGCATGGAACTGACTCGCAATGGCTGCAGATGGGGTCCCTGATCTGTTGGAGGTCCCAAAAACTTAGCATATTTGGATATGTTTGGCTCATTAAGATGGCAATAAAAAAATGGAGAGTCGTGGTGAGTAGTGATACATCTCCGCCATGGATTCAAATGGCCGAATGGGCATCAATAACGAAGCATCTTTTTGGGTCTGTGGCCAGTGAACGAGTGGGTGGATGAGTTCAAATTAGTTCGATACACAAAATGATGCCAAATTGTGCATTCAATGCCGCTCAGAATTGGGTATGGCTAGTATGGCTCACAATTTGGTTTATATATTGTTGGTTTGAACTTGGAGTGCCCAGGTTTGATCCGTACCCAGTACATATACATGTATGAAAGCGCTAAAAGATGCTAAAAACTTCCTCAACATTTTGAAAATCGCATCCATTCCACCAAAGGAACAACTCATCAGTCCCAAACATCTACCAGCGAGAGCACCTTGCTAGAGAGGTAGTCCTGGTCCACCACTAAGCTGCTAAAGCTCAAGCGAAAACCACATTTTTCAGCGACCACCTGGCTCTGTTTGGCGAAGACAAGGTGGATCATGGCAGATCACCTTCCAGCTAAATGTCCGCTAGACTTGGGATACAAAAAGAGCATGGCCTTGTCTCAAAGTCTTTTTGGATGGAAAAAAACCGGTTATCTAGTGGTGTATCAAATCATTTCGCAACATGTGGAACCCCACAATCCATCTGGACCCCACATGGTCATGGCCCCTACAATTTCCAGTACATGGGGTTCAAATTGGCCCTGAAACAAAGCCACAAAACCAACAAAAATGATAGTTCAAGGGAACAAACATGTGGTTTTGAGTTCCAATACAGGGACCAAACTGGTTTGAAACTCTGCATCAAAATTGCCATACATATCCATACATTGCAAAGGGCGAATTTTCACCTACAGCCATGAGAAATCCAATAGTTGGTCTAGTACCTATCAAATCCTATATGATCAATCCATATGGGGGTTTCCCGTTTCCCATGGGGGTACCCCAAAATAGATGGTTTTTTCTGATGGAACATCTTACTAAAATGGATGATGACTGGGGTAACCCCCATGACTTAGGAAACCACCAGATCGATCCTAGCACCGGCCCACTAGGCCTCCCCAGAGATCCGGGGGCTTGCGGGATGATCGCCCAAATGCTCCACAGCTGCGGCCTGCAGATTTGACCATGGGGGAACATGAACCTAATCATGGGCACAATAGGGTATAATCTATATATGAATATAAATGTATATGAATACTATATGAATACATATATATATATAATATATATATATGAATATATATAATATGTATATATATATATATGAATATAGATAATATATTATATATATATACACATGAATTTATATATATATATATATGTATCATGATATTATACCGGAAGGTCTTGCACGTCTTCCACGATGGCCCCCAATTGCAGGTTGTTTTCGCATGGATATCACAACTATGACATACTATGACTACTAGGGGCTGCTACAGCAATTATAGAAGCGCTTTCCAACTTCGATTATAAAGAGTTGGTGAAGGGGAATTCCCTGGGTTCATTCAGTGTTGTTTCAACCCATTCTTCGTGTTTCGTTCCCATTCCGGTTGTCCATAAGATCCCTCTTTCAATCAGTTTGAGCCAACGAATCTGAGTTGCTTCGAGTGGTCCCTACCAACTGACATTCTGACAAATATTCTGACAGTTCATCTGGCATTCTGACATCTTGTCTGACATCGTGTTGGGTGTTCGGGTTGGGGCCCAGAGTGCCTAAGAGCTCGGACATAAAATCTAGAGACCTTTGGGGAAAAATCTTGCTCGATTGGGGCATACCAAATATCCAAGCCACCGGCCATGTCATAAGTACCGGTCATGTTTAATAATCTACCAATCCTCCCCTTTCTTGTTGGGCGTATCCCTGAAAATGGTTCACTAACGCAGCTATACCATGTTATCCCGTTGCTTGTTGTTGATTACACCCATGTTTTGCGATGTGTAAAACACAAAATCATGTTGGTTATACCCTAGGTTTCTGTTGGTTCTACCCCCATTCTTGGGGGTGCAGTGCAGTTGTAACTGGTATGCACAAATATATACAAATACTTTAATATACTATACATTCCAAACCATTGTTATAGGGGTTATATTCCAACTGATGGGAGTAATTGCCATGGTTACATGGACTAATAGTAAACCATCCCCAACACCATAAATGGGTGGCATAAACCATCAAACCATATGGGTGGTTTATGGTGGTTTATGACATTGTACCCCCATGTTATCATGTTCGCTTCCGGTCCTCAAAGCCGCTGTCAAAAGAGGCGTAGACCACGCAGGCCCTGCCATTCGGAATGAGCCGAAAATATCACATGGACTTATCATGGCTTAAATGTCACATGGTTGTGGGTCAAAATTGGGTACCTCCCCAAAAAACGGAATCGTTTATGATTCATAGATGTTCAAATCGGATTTCATAGGATGGTTGGATGGATGGCCTACACAGAAGTCACAGATCGATCGTTGCTTCACCCAAAGGATCAGCCCCGGTGGAGCAGAACTGTGGTAGCCCATGGTAGCCTCTTGTACCATTGCCCTGCTGCCAGTTTGGAGCTGAATTTTGACCCATGTTTCAGTATGAGAACAGCAGAAATGAAACTATTATATAACTATTCATGTTTTATCATTCCATATCATTTACATTCATCTACCATAATTTGCCCGTTTCAGACACATTCTCAGCTGTTTGATGGCCATACTCGTCACAACCGTTTGTCGAAAAACTCGCATCCAAGGGCCTCGGGCCAAATTGTCGGAAGGTCCTGTCTGCGAGACAAAATTTCAAAATCCTGGGGATCATCATCCTATTTCTTGGACCACAAAATATTAGTCAAACCACCAAAGAATCATGGCACATGGGTCTGCATGCTTCAAAAGATCTCCTGCACAATGGAAAAACCATGGAAAAACTGTTAGTCGGACAAAGTCCACAACAAATCAACCACTTAAACCAAACCCAGAAAGGCTCCGAATCTATATATATATTATATATATTATATATAATATAAATATATATATATATACGTTTTTTCTGGCTGTCATCCATCGGATATTTCACGAAATCTGACCACTCTCATCATCTTCGAGAAATCCACCCAAATCGTAGAAATAGTTGAAACCACCAAGCAAGAATATCATGCAAAGTAGTGAAGAAGTGACACAATAACAAATTATGAAGTAAACATAGATGTACCAATGATGTACCCTCAAAAAAAACTCTTAAAACATGCGTTTAAATCATCTAAACACACTCGCTCCCTTTACACATTCCACGTTCGAAATTCCCCCCTCCTTGGATCCGTATTGCCGATGGCGATTGTCCTGCGTGGGGCCCATGAATCCATGTGTCAAGAGTTGTTCTGGAAACAGTTTGCAAAACAGCAAAAAGATGCAAAAGAAAAGAACTCAGATGCACGAGAATAAACGCATCATCACCGTTACGTTTCAAAAAAACTGATGCACCTCTCCCCGAGCCTTTTTGCCACCGCGTTTCTACAGGGGTTGCACATCGCACTGTAAATAAAGGAGCTGGGCTTCCCTGACTTGATCCTTGAGAAGATATGCACATAATTAAGCCAGGAGACTATGCGTGATGAAACTTTGACTATCCATTGAGGTAGGATAATGACTTGAAACAATGGACATTTACTGGTTGTGCTCAAGAAAAAATACGTGCTTCCATTTCTGCTTCAGTCCGTGGTGAAAGGTTGCCTAATTGACCCCAATTCATGACAAACTTGGCGCTGGCTCCGTTTCTTTGCAAGACAAATCGATATACCCTCTGGTAGTTTAACATAGCTATTGAAAATGGCCATGTATAGTGAGTTTTCCCATTAAAAATGGTGATTTTCTATAGTTATGTTAGTTTACCAGAGGGTACCCTCCGGTAATCAAACATGGCAATCGAAAATCTCCTGATGTTCCCAGCCTCCCAGCTAACCTCCATGGCTTGGGGGATTTCCCTATCCACGGCCCGCTTGCATACGCTCACGTGCACTGAAGGGCAGGTGGCTGTCAGTGCCAGTCTTCCTGGGTGGATGGTGCATGATGGTGCCTGGGTGATGAGTGACCCGGAACACCCATCTATCACGTATGAACAATATGAATTCATACAATACATGAAAATACATACATGTATAGATCTTAATATACAATATTATAATATAATATATATATATATACATATTATATTTATATAATATTATATGTGTATATACTGTATATATATATATATATGTATTATTTTATACATACCTAGGTCATCCATCGCAGTCCTCCTCTTCTTCTCCTTCTCACTCACTTTGTACAAAGACTTGTGTTTCTCCTGGCTTCAGAACTGGCCAAGAGGAGATGAAGCATCAATCGATTGATCAACATTATCAGCCATTAATGAATCATATCATGTCATATCATTAATATCATTAATTAACATTCAAATCATTTAATCATTTGATATTTAATATTATTATATAATTACTATAACCCATTGATGAATCACGATTATATTATGGTGAATGATTAACAACTGATGATTAAGAATTCATGACAATCTTGATAGAAAATAATGATTATCCAGTGATTAACCATTACAATCCATTACATGGTATTTTAAATTTTAAGACAGACCCATGTATCACGGATACGAAGCGTTCGTGCAACTGCCTTCTTCTGCTTTGGTTCATTTTCCTGCGAACCGTGAACGACACGTTGAGAAACTTCGGCGGTGACAGGCTGGGTTGCTCTGTGAAATGAGAGATAACGAGAAGTGACTTGCACATGATTGGCTCCCAAAAATGGTTCATGGTCACTTGGGTTCGAATCTGAAAACACTGAGAAAACATGATGGGTCATCATTTTCCCTATTGAAGTGATCCTAAAATGGTGGGCAAACCCAGCATTTTCGAGCACGGCCACTTGGCCGCCTCACCATCGATTCACGTTGTGGTTGCACCCAAAGATGGGACATTCAGCTAGGGGTAAACCCTAAAAACTGGATGGATTGGCGCATGCCCAAATGCCCACTCCCTGACCCCAAATCTACGAGTCCATGTCTCAATTTTGGGAGTGGTGGCTCTCATCCACAGCTCGCCTTTTGAATCTTGTCAGAAGCAGATAGCATCTCATCAGGCCTTGGAGTCACAAGCGTTGCACAGATGGCACGAATTGATGGTTCCTGTCTTTCTCTTTCACATGAGCTCATGGCCGGCCTCCACCAAAAACTGTCGCAGATTCAGAGCTGGGGGTCCCACTTGATGCCAAAGCGATGCATCCATCGTCGCTTTTCTTCTTTGTCCATTCCAGAAAAGTCTGGTCGTTCAGGTGGCAGATTTGGATCCTCATTGTCATGGTCCAGCAAGGGAAATGCACCCGAGGGGGTTCCTTTTTCGAAGGTCGGAGTTGCGAATTGGATTTTCACAAACCCAATCCAAACAATTGAGACAAACACTGTCCAGAAAACGGGGGAATCAATCAATACAGTACAGTAAACAAGAGCAACCAACGAAACCATATGCAGTCACGTAAAACACTTTTGTGAAACAAAATCCTTCAAAAGCTTTGTACATTTCCCCGGTTACCGTGTCAGTGTAGACTGTGGAGTGTGGAATGGGGTGGAGTGCAGAGTGTGGAGCATGAAGACAGTGGGGTGTTGAGTGGGGAATGTAGTGTGTAGGGTATGAAGTGGGGATTGTGGAGTGCGAAGTGTCCAGTGCAAAGTGTAGAGTGTAAAGTGTGGAGTGTAAAGCGTAGAGTGTGGAGTGTAAAGGTGTAGAGTGTGGAATGTAAAGTGTAGAGTGCGGAGTGTAAAGTGTAAGGTGTAGAGTGTGGAACATGAAGGTGTAAAGTGTCGAGTGCGGAGTGTAGAGTGTAAAGTGTAGAGTGTCCCAAATACTGCGCCTGCCGCGCAAAGTGACATTCCACACACGACGGATCTGCACCAAATGGTGCTCCTGCCACTCAAAATGACACTCTCGCAATGTCCCACGCCCGCCACGCGAGTTGCACGTTGTCTCCACTTGACGCAGCCCCAACAATGTGATTCGACAAAAAAACACGCAACAATACACGCCTAAAGTGCTGCGCTTTCCACACAAATGAACATGGACACCTCCAAAGTGCTGCGCCTGCCGCGAAACATGCAAGCCATCTTCGGAAAACCTCGCAAAAGTATTGCACCTGTCATACAGAACGACTTTTGACACCTTATGAAACATGTTGGGATGTCACGAAGTGCCACACTTGCCACACGAAATGACGTTGTGCGACGTTCCAAACCTCCAAAACTGACCACTTTTCCAGCAGCCGTTATAGGCACGGCCAAAGGGTCCCCACCGCGGTCGTGCTGCCGATGGTTGCGGACACAGAAGCAGCGTCGAGCGAACACAGGTCCACCCCCAGACCCCCAAGGTAAAACGAGAACCCTTCGCTACGCATTCGGGAAAAAACAATCTTATTTTATTCCATCTTCACTTGCGGAATATTCTCCCTAGCTTTGCTGTCGCCGAGGCACCACTTTAGGGACCTCTTTCTGCGTCCACGGGTTGGGCGTGGCACCATCAGCATCTGAGGGCATAGCCTGGGACCATCACTAGCCAAAACGAGGGGGTGGTTGAGAACTCGCTCAAGCTACCCTAGCTGGTTAGTGGATGTTTATTTCCAAATATGGCCATAATAGGTTTTGACCCATCCCCATACACGTGGAATGTAGATGAAATATAGGTGGCACCACCCCCCCCTTAAGAATCACCTTCACAATTTTCCCAAGTTTGGGTGGATTGTAATAGATAGATTATGTTCTTGGTTTTGACTGATTTGTGATAGAAAACAAACAATCTATTATGCTATGGCTGAAGTATAGAAATTCACCAACCTGAAAATACCTCTTATCAATACGGCCATTTGGGGACGATTTCCCATACATAAACCACCACTCCAGTGACGTCAGGACGCGAGGGATCTATTAATCCCTACAAGATGAGATCCCCCAGTTTTAAGTGGTTTATAAACCCCATTAACTATAGTCATATCCCCAAATATCCCCAATAAACCTAAGTGAGTTATACGCAACCGAGCTATCTAGAGGGCCTCATATTAATCAATATAAATCCGGTTTAATCCCTATGAACCAATATTGATCCCCAGTTATACTACCTCCCAGTTGATCCCCAGGTATACTACCTAAGTTCCGTTAATCCCAATCAGAGTAAAATAGCCCTTACATAACCCTCACATAGGCTTTATATCTGGTAGGTACCTTGAATAAATCGGTACCTGATACCTGGCCATGTTTTTTTACTTCCTATCAATCGAAGTTATAAGTTCTATGAATTCCAATCATATAATATTTGGTTAAGTTCTATTAATCCCCATGAACCCCTAGTATTCCCCAGCAATGAATCCAAAGATCTTTGGGATGACATCGACCAAGGCACCTTTGGATCCAACTCCAATCCATGGAGCCATTTTTGTGGCTTCGGGGCCACCTCCTCCTGGTGGTTTCAGTATACTGAATATATCTTTAGTATTTTTAGACAAATAGATGAATATATATATATACATGTGTATATATATATATATATGTATCTCATGATATATTTAGATGTAGCCACTGTTATCTATCACTATAAAATACTATAAATTTATAATTACCTATCTAGAATAAAATAAATGTATAATTGTATAAATATGACATGACTATAAAGTGTGTACACCTATATATATATATATGTAAATCATATATTCATGTTTTAGCCAGCGGGGGGAAAACCGCGCCAGCGTTATGGCCGTTTTTGAAAACACACATATTTCATTCAGAACATGCACATCTCACGTTACGTCACTGGGTTGGGGGGGTGGGGATGTTAACGTTCATGTTAACTTGCGTCACATGCACATCTCACGTTACGTCACTGGGTTGGATGGGGGTGGGGATGTTAATGTTCATGTTAACTTGCGTCACATGCACATCTAACGTTGCGTCACTTGGTTGGGGGGTGGGGATGTTAACGTTCATGTTAACTTGCGTCACATGCACATCTAACGTTACGTCACTGGGTTGGATGGGGGTGGGGATGTTAATGTTCATGTTAACTTGCGTCACATGCTCATCTCACGTTACGTCACTTGGTTGGGGGGGTGGGGATGTTAACGTTCATGTTAACTTGCGTCACATGCACATCTCACGTTACGTCACTGGGTTGGGGGGGTGGGGATGTTAATGTTCATGTTAGCTTGCGTCAAATGCACATCTCACGTTACGTCACTGGGTTGGGGGGGAGGGGATGTTAACGTTCATGTTAACTTGCGACTATCTAAGTCTGCCATACCATGCAGTCCCCCGGCCAGATCCAACGGCCATGTTACCCCAAAGTTGATGCGAATCATCCGGGTGTGGCAGTGGCGTTGGATGAACTCCACGACCAAAGGTCTGATGGAGGTCACAGGTCAAGCCTTGAAGAATCGTATGGCAATGTGAGTGGAAAAAAAATCGCGCCAGGTCATCGTTAAAAAAAACACTTCAAAATCCCCGGTGTTTTTAAGACCATTTTGGGGAATGAATCAGCAGTTTCGCTATGGCGAAAACGACATTTTTTTTAAAAAAACGATCAAAACACTGGCGCGGTTTTCCCCCCGGCGGGATGTTTTACTATGTTTAATTTATGGTCTTCATTTACTTGTTCATGTATTTATGTTATGTATTATTATACTTTATTTATGTATGTTTTTATTTATTATGTTGTTTACTTGATGTATGTTTACCTATATTCATTCATTAATTCGTGTCATTTATTGATTTGTTTATCTATTTATATATATATATTATAATATATATATATATGCAACTGCAAAAATACAGGACTTGGTCTGTCCAAAAATGGGGAATGCCGGCTACAGCTCTGCAGTCCCTGATACATCACCCTGGCACTTGTGTGGCAGGCCCAGCCGTTCCTCAGGCTTCTTGTAACCTCGTCAAAATGGGCAGGCGAGTAAGCCCAAAAGTCTTCTCCGAGAAAAAATACCTTACTGGTCCGTGCTGCTCCTCTTTAGAACAATTCGACTGTAGTCTGGGAGTGTTTGGGAAGGCCCAGAGACCCCATGATTTAAATTCCAAGGTTCCCCTTTTTGAATGTGGGGGCCAATCCTCCATCTTTGGACACACTCAAATTATATTTATTGTACTTTATTGTTCTATACACCATTGAATCCTCATTCTGTCCTGAAAAAGAGTTTGTATAATACCCCGGACCAAATGGCTTTGGGCAAACCCGCATTCCCATCAAAATTACTGTATATACTTTATACATCTTTATACCCATTACATCCTCATTCTATCCCAATAATATGGAGTGGATTTGTACACCGCCTTTTTTCGAACAAACCCACAGACAAGGAATGCTGGCAGGAAACTGTATTTAGCGCTGGGCATATCTTTGACGCCCGGGCGGCTGCCATCAACAGCACCTGCAGAGACTAGATTCATGACACAGAAGGGCATCCCTCCGAAAAGTGGTCTGCATGATCTTCTCAGTTTTGGGTTTTGGGCAATGAAATCCATATGTTTGATGGTGAAACCCCAATGTCTAAAATCTCAATGTTTGATACTTTTGAAAGGTGAAATCCTGCAAACCCGAAAGGTTTGCCGTATTTTTGTTGGATCCCTGCCCCCTGAGCTCTTTATCCGTCCAGTGAACGGCCTAGGGTGATCATGCGGCATACACCACACTTCAGCAAGCCGGTCGAAGCTTCGACCTGACACGACCGTGAACGGGTGAAATTCTGGGATCCAAAATTTGGGGAAAAAAAAACACGCTTACAAACAGTTCGCTGAAGCGTCTCCAAACAAGAATGCCTTTAACATCCTTGAAGTATACTGTTTCTTCATGGAAGAACTGCAAGTCTGCAAGGTGTCTTAATTTAGTTTTAATCGAGAAGAAATGTTCCAGATACAGCTACATTGCTGAGCCCATAAATCACAACAACATACGTTAAGTTGGGCTTGGTCAAAACCTGGTACCCGGCTGTTCACATCCCAGGAACGCACAGCATGGTGAAATCCCCATAGGTTGTCCCAGCACCTCTCCACGTCGTTCGTGGCGCCAGGGTTGGCGACGCCAAAAGACACCACCAAGACCCACCTCAACGGTTCAAAAGCCAACATGGAAATGATTTGGTGTATCTACATGATGATTTTTCTTAGTTTATCTATCTATCTATCTATCTATCTATCTATCTATCTATCTATCTATCTATCTATCTATTTCTCTCTCTCTCTCTCTGTATGTATATATATATATATACACATAGCAATCCACAAAGGGGAAAACACCTGAATTTACACTATGTTAATGGTGATTTATCTGTTCTATCTTTTGGGGGATGGCTATATGTACGTATAACAAAACAACATGTGATGGATATGTGATGTATATGTGTATATATCTATTTTATATAATTCTATATATTATACACATAGAGGGAGAGACAGAGAGATATAGACGTAATGACAGGTATAGACAGGAATAGAAAAGAAAAATGGAAAACTATACAGGATAGTGTGATGCTGGTACCTGACAAGCACCCCCTCTCGATGGTGGGTCGTTGAATGGTTGTGATCTTCATCCAACATCTGTGTCGATCACCATGCAAATAGCTAGATCCTTGATTGAATCAAATTTCTGCTGTGTGAACTTCACGAAACTGTTCCAAACTGATATCTTCCGAATCATCTTTTTTGTTTGGAAAACATGTTTTTTAATTGAAATGCCCGCGTTTGGTCGTGAAAATACACAATCATCTTCGGTTGCACGTTTGAAATGCAATCTTTTTTCAATTCCGAAATCTCCAATCTGGGTGTGTCTCAAAATCGATAACTGTCCTTTTTATGGCCATTAATGGCACATGATCTTCTTCTACAACCGTGGTATTTGGCAGTGGTTTCGGAGGTCCTTTTTTCGTGGCGCCGTATTTGGTGAACTCGGGCGACGTTTTCAAAGGCTCGCGCAACCCTCTCGGCACTTTGCGTGCGTCAGATCGTTCTCGTTGTGGCGCAGTGTGCTGATTTCAAATCGCTTGCGCCACCCTTCACAGCATCTTCCTATCACTTTCCCATCATCTTCCTATCACTTTCCCATCATCTTCCTATCATGTTCACAGCATCTTCCTATCACTTTCCCATCATCTTCCTATCACTTTCCCATCATTTTCCTATCATTTTCACAGCATCTTCCTATCATGTTCACAGCACCTTCCTATCACTTTCCCATCATCTTCCTATCACTTTCCCATCATCTTCCTATCATTTTCACAGCATCTTCCTATCATTGTCCCAGCACCTTCCTATCACTTTCCCATCATCTTCCTATCATTTTCACAGCATCTTCCTATCATGTTCACAGCACCTTCCTATCACTTTCCCATCATCTTCCTATCACTTTCCCATCATCTTCCTATCATTTTCACAGCATCTTCCTATCATTGTCCCAGCACCTTCCTATCACTTTCCCATCATTTTCCTATCATTTTCACAGCATCTTCCTATCATGTTCACAGCACCTTCCTATCACTTTCCCATCATCTTCCTATCACTTTCCCATCATCTTCCTATCATTTTCACAGCATCTTCCTATCATTGTCCCAGCACCTTCCTATCACTTTCCCATCATTTTCCTATCATTTTCACAGCATCTTCCTATCATGTTCACAGCACCTTCCTATCACTTTCCCATCATCTTCCTATCACTTTCCCATCATCTTCCTATCATTTTCACAGCATCTTCCTATCATGTTCACAGCATCTTCCTATCACTTTCCCATCATTTTCCTATCATTTTCACAGCATCTTCCTATCATGTTCACAGCACCTTCCTATCACTTTCCCATCATCTTCCTATCACTTTCCCATCATCTTCCTATCATTTTCACAGCATCTTCCTATCATTGTCCCAGCACCTTCCTATCACTTTCCCATCATTTTCCTATCATTTTCACAGCATCTTCCTATCATGTTCACAGCACCTTCCTATCATGTTCCCATCATCTTCCTATCACTTTCCCATCATCTTCCTATCATTTTCACAGCATCTTCCTATCATTGTCCCAGCACCTTCCTATCACTTTCCCATCATTTTCCTATCATTTTCACAGCATCTTCCTATCATGTTCACAGCACCTTCCTATCACTTTCCCATCATCTTCCTATCACATTCCCATCATCTTCCTATCATTTTCACAGCATCTTCCTATCATGTTCACAGCATCTTCCTATCACTTTCCCATCATTTTCCTATCATTTTCACAGCATCTTCCTATCATGTTCACAGCACCTTCCTATCACTTTCCCATCATCTTCCTATCACTTTCCCATCATTTTCCTATCATTTTCACAGCATCTTCCTATCATGTTCACAGCACCTTCCTATCACTTTCCCATCATTTTCCTATCATTTTCACAGCATCTTCCTATCATTGTCCCAGCACCTTCCTATCACTTTCCCATCATCTTCCTATCATTTTCACAGCATCTTCCTATCATTTTCCCAGCACCTTCCTATCATTTTCACAGCATCTTCCTATCATTTTCAACGCATCTTCCTATCATTTTCACAGCACCTTCCTATCACTTTCCCATCATCTTCCTATCCTTTTCACAGCATCTTCCTATCATTTTCACAGCATCTTCCTATCATTTTCACAGCGCCTTCCTATCAGCACTTTCCCATCATCTTCCTATCATTTTCACAGCATCTTCCTATCATTTTCAACGCATCTTCCTATCATTTTCACAGCACCTTCCTATCACTGTCCCATCATCTTCCTATCATTTTCACAGCATCTTCCTATCATTTTCAACGCATCTTCCTATCATTTTCACAGCACCTTCCTATCACTTTCCCATCATCTTCCTATCATTTTCACAGCATCTTCCTATCATTTTCAACGCATCTTCCTATCATTTTCACAGCATCTTCCTATCATTTTCACAGCATCTTGATATCATTTTCAACGCATCTTCCTATCATTTTCACAGCACCTTCCTATCACTTTCCCATCATCTTCCTATCATTTTCACAGCATCTTCCTATCATTTTCAACGCATTTCATATTCACAGCATCTTCCTATCACTTTCCCATCATCTTCCTATCCTTTTCACAGCATCTTCCTATCATTTTCACAGCATCTTGATATCATTTTCAACGCATCTTCCTATCATTTTCACAGCACCTTCCTATCACTTTCCCATCATCTTCCTATCCTTTTCACAGCATCTTCCTATCACTTTCACATCATCTTCCTATCATTTTCACAGCGCCTTCCTATCACTTTCCCATCATCTTCCTATCATTTTCACAGCATCTTCCTATCATTTTCAACGCATCTTCCTATCATTTTCACAGCACTTTCCTATCACTTTCCCATCATCTTCCTATCATTTTCACAGCATCTTCCTATCATTTTCAACACATCTTCCTATCATTTTCACAGCACCTTCCTATCACTTTCCCATCATCTTCCTATCATTTTCACAGCATCTTCCTACCATTTTCAACGCATTTTCCTATCATTTTCACAGCACCTTCCTATCACTTTCCCATCATCTTCCTATCATTTTCACAGCATCTTCCTATCATTTTCAACGCATTTCATATTCACAGCACCTTCCTATCACTTTCCCATCATCTTCCTATCATTTTCACAGCATCTTCCTATCATTTTCAACGCATCTTCCTATCATTTTCACAGCACCTTCCTATCATTTTCAACGCATCTTCCTATCATTTTCACAGCGCCTTCCTATCACTTTCCCATCATCTTCCTATCATTTTCACAGCATATTCCTATCATTTTCAACGCATCTTCCTATCATTTTCACAGCACCTTCCTATCACTTTCCCATCATCTTCCTATCATTTTCACAGCATCTTCCTATCATTTTCACAGCATCTTCCTATCATTTTCACAGCACCTTCCTATCACTTTCCCATCATCTTCCTATCATTTTCACAGCATCTTCCTATCATTTTCAACGCATTTTCCTATCATATTCACAGCACCTTCCTATCACTTTCCCATCATCTTCCTATCATTTTCACAGCATCTTCCTATCATTTTCAACGCATCTTCCTATCATTTTCGCAGCACCTTCCTATCACTTTCCCATCATGTTCCTATCATGTTCACAGCATCTTCCTATCATTTTCAACGCATCTTCCTATCATTTTCACAGCACCTTCCTATCACTTTCCCATCATATTCCTATCATTTTCACAGCATCTTCCTATCATTTTCAACGCATCTTCCTATCATTCCCACCACCTTCCTATCACTTTCCCATCATCTTCCAATCATTTTCACAGCATCTTCCTATCATTTTCAACGCATCTTCCTATCATATTCACAGCACCTTCCTATCACTTTCCCATCATCTTCCTATCATTTTCACAGCATATTCCTATCATTTTCAACACATCTTCCTATCATTTTCACAGCACCTTCCTATCACTTTCCCATCATCTTCCTATCATTTTCACAGCATCTTCCTATCATCATTTTCCTATCATTTTCAGCACCTTCCCTATCACTTTCCCATCATCTTCCTATCATTTTCACAGCATCTTCCTATCATTTTCAACACATTTCATATTCACAGCACCTTCCTATCACTTTCCCATCATCTTCCTATCATTTTCACAGCATCTTCCTATCATTTTCAACGCATCTGCCTATCATTTTCACAGCACCTTCCTATCACTTTCCCATCATCTTCCTATCATTTTCACAGCATCTTCCTATCATTTTCAACGCATCTCATTTTCACAGCACCTTCCTATCACTTTCCCATCATCTTCCCATCATTTTCACAGCATCTTCCTATCATTTTCAACGCATTTTCCTATCATATTCACAGCACCTTCCTATCACTTTCCCATCATCTTCCTATCATTTTCACAGCACCTTCCTATCATTTTCCCATCATCTTCCTATCATTTTCACAGCACCTTCCTATCAATTTCCCATCATCTTCCTATCGTTTTCACAGCATTTTCCTATCATTTTCAACGCATCTTCCTATCATTTTCACAGCACCTTCCTGTCACTTTCCCATCATCTTCCTATCATTTTCACAGCACCTTCCTTTCATTTTCAACGCATCTTCCTATCATTTTCACAGCATTTTCCTAATATGTTCCCATCATCTTCCTATCATGATCACAGCATCTTCCTATCATTGTCCCAGCACCTTCCTATCAATTTCACAGCATCTTCCTATCGTTTTCACAGCATCTTTCTATCATTGTCCCAGCACCTTCCTATCACTCTCCCATCATCTTCCTATCATGATCACAGCATCGTCCTATCATTGTCCCAGCACCTTCCTATCACTTTCCCATCATCTTCCTATCATTTTCACAGCATCTTCCTATCATTGTCCCAGCACCTTCCTATCACTTTCCCATCATCTTCCTATCAATTTCACAGCATCTTCCTATCATTGTCCCAGCACCTTCCTATCACTTTCCCATCATCTTCCCATCATTTTCACAGCATCTTCCTAATATTTTCCCATCATCTTCCTATCATGTTCACAGCATCTTCCTACCATTGTCCCAGCACCTTCCTATCACTTTCACATCATCTTCCTATCATGTTCACAGCATCTTCCTATCATTTTCACAGCATCTTCCTATCATTTTCAACACATATTCCTATCATGTTCACAGCACCTTCCTATCACTTTCCCATCATCTTCCTATCATTTTCACAGCATCTTCCTATCATTTTCAAAGCATCTTCCTATCATTGTCCCAGCACCTTCCTATCACTTTTCCATCATCTTCCTATCATTTTCACAGCATTGTCCTATCGTTTTCACAGCATCTTCCTATCACTTTCCCATCATTTTCCTATCAATTTCACAGCATCTTCCTATCATTGTCCCAGCACCTTCCTATCACTTTCCCATCATTTTCACAGCACCTTCCTATCACTTTCACATCATCTTCCTATCATGTTCACAGCATCTTCCTACCATTGTCCAAGCACCTTCCTATCAGTTTCACATCATCTTCCTATCATGTTCACAGCATCTTCCTATCATTGTCCCAGCACCTTTCTATCAATTTCAGAGCATCTTCCTATCGTTTTCACAGCATCTTCCTATCAATTTCACAGCATCGTCCTATCACGTTCCCATCATTTTCCTATCAATTTCACAGCATGTCCTATCATTTTCACAGCATCTACCTATCATTGTCCCAGCACCTTCCTATCACTCTCCCATCATCTTCCTATCATTTTCACAGCATCTTCCTAATATTGTCCCATCATCTTCCTATCATTTTCACAGCATCTTCCTATCATTGTCCCAGCACTTTCCTATCATTTTCACAGCATCGTCCTATCACTTTCCCATCATTTTCCTATCAATTTCACAGCATCTTCCTATCATGTTCACAGCATCTTCCTATCATTTTCACAGCACCTTCCTATCACTTTCCCATCATCTTCCTATCATTTTCACAGCACCTTCCTATCAATTTCACAGCATCTTCCTATCGTTTTCACAGATTCTTCCTATCATTTTCACAGCATCGTCCTATCATTGTCCCAGCACCTTCCTATCACTTTCCCATCATCTTCCTATCATTTTCACAGCACCTTCCTATCCTTTCAACGCATCTTCCTATCATTTTCACGGCATTTTCCTAATATTTTCCCATCATCTTCCTATCATGATCACAGCATCTTCCTATCATTGTCCCAGCACCTTCCTATCAATTTCACAGCATCTTCCTATCGTTTTCACAGCATCTTCCTATCATTTTCACAGCACCTTCCTATCACTTTCCCATCATCTTCCTATCATGTTCGCAGCATTTTCCTATCATTGTCCCAGCACCTTCCTATCAATTTCACAGCATCTTCCTATCGTTTTCACAGCATCTTCCTATCATTGTCCCAGCACCTTCCTATCACTTTCCCATCATCTTCCTATCATGTTCACAGCATCGTCCTATCGTTTTCACAGCATCTTCCTATCATGTTCACAGCATCTTCCTATCATTTTCACAGCACCTTCCTATCCTCATCTTCCTATCATGTTCACAGCATCTTCCTATCATTGTCCCAGCACCTGCCTATCATTTTCACAGCATCTTCCTATCGGAACAGCATCTTCCTATCATTGTCCCAGCACCTTCCTATCACTTTCCCATCATCTTCCCATCATGTTCACAGCATCTTCCTACCATTGTCCCAGCACCTTCCTATCACTTTCACATCATCTTCCTATCATGTTCACAGCATCTTCCTATCATTGTCCCAGCACCTTTCTATCAATTTCAGAGCATCGTCCTATCGTTTTCACAGCATCTTCCTATCATTTGCACAGCATCGTCCTATCACGTTCCCATCATTTTCCTATCAATTTCACAGCATTTTCCTATCATTTTCACAGCATCTACCTATCATTGTCCCAGCACCTTCCTATCACTCTCCCATCATCTTCCTATCATTTTCACAGCATCTTCCTAATATTGTCCCATCATATTCCTATCATTTTCACAGCATCTTCCTATCATTGTCCCAGCACTTTCCTATCATTTTCACAGCATCGTCCTATCACTTTCCCATCATTTTCTTATCAATTTCACAGCATCTTCCTATCATGTTCACAGCATCTTCCTATCATTTTCACAGCACCTTCCTATCACTTTCCCATCATCTTCCTATCATTTTCACAGCACCTTCCTATCAATTTCACAGCATCTTCCTATTGTTTTCACAGATTCTTCCTATCATTTTCACAGCATCGTCCTATCATTGTCCCAGCACCTTCCTATCACTTTCCCATCATCTTCCTATCATTTTCACAGCATCTTCCTATCATTGTCCCAGCACCTTCCTATCACTTTCCCATCATCTTCCTATCAAGTTCTCCATGTTTGTTCCCATGGCCCCCCACTGCGTGGTACTTCGGCTCTGCTGCCACTGCCAGCTCAGCGACCGCAGCGCTGGAGCATTGTCGAGCTGCACCTATGGCGAAATTATGAGGGAGAGCTCTAAATTATGGATGTGTGTTTTCCTAAATTAGGTTCTAGAGCATCCGAAATATATCGAAAAGAAGGAAAGGTTGGATTTACGCAACGAAGCAATATCCAACAAAAAAGTGGGAACTTACGCCTGAAACTTGGATTTAACAAGGATCTCCAGACATCTTAACCAAAACAATGGGTGGATCCTCGCACCAAAACATTGCAAACAAAGAAGTGTAACCAACATTCTAAACATAATCTAAACATGATATATGATTAGCACAAACAGGGATGCGATCAACAAAAGGTAGCTACTAACACCTGTGGCCAAACATGAGGAAATAGATGGTCAGATATGGTCAGATGGCAGACATTCCTGGATAGTTTGTCAAGGATTAAAAGAGTATGATCCTCAACCAGTAAAGTTCACAAGTTGTCACCCAGCACCCGCCCTTCGGCCATTTTCTCCACCCTGCCTTTGGCAAGCTTTCTGACCTCTGCCTGATGCGAGGACCAGTTGCAGCGAAAAGTGGCTTGTTCTACAACTGGATACTCCGTTACCCTCTGGTAATTTAACATAACTATGGAAAATCACCATTTTTGATGGGAAAACTCACTATAAATGGCCATTTTCAATAGCTATGTTAAATTACCAGAGGGTATGTAATCCGTAGACTTGGATTTGCTGATGATGTGGTTTATTTTCCTCGCCATTTACTGGAATCTACTGGCTTTTCTTTTAAATATGTTATATTCTGGAGGCCTCCGTAAGCAAATCCAGGTAGATGTGTACCTCTAAAAACGAGAAAATTGCAGTCAAGTCGACCCTCCTCCTCTGGCCATGCATCCTTGAGAGTGGACATCACACCCTGACATCGAACGGACTCAAGGGTGTATGGGTTGTCACCCAAAAAAAGTTGGGATTTATGGATGTAAATGGAGGTTGACCTCCCAAATATATGTTTTTTTTATAGGTTTCAATCCATCCTAAAGGTGTCCAGTCAATCTGTAGATCCCAGAGTCTGAATGTACCATGAAACTGAGAGAGACGTAGCTAATACAGAAGGGAAAGAAATTCGGTACATAAAAGCTTGAATGTTCATTTCATTTGGGCAATCATTGACACACCATTGTTTGCAGCAACCCTGCAACATGGCTGGCTGCGGGTGCGTGTCATGTGGCATACAAGCATAATCATCCTTGACTGGCTGGTGGTTGAGCCACTCCCCTAAAAAATGTGAAGGTCATTGAACATCATCCCATTTCTATCGTTGAAGCTGAAAAAACTTTGAAACCACCAAGCCAAGAATCGATAAGTTGAGGTTTCCCAAGTCATGGGGGTACCCCCAAATCATCCATATATTTGGATTGTCCATTATAACCCATCCATTTTGGAGCACCCCCATGGCTTAGGAAACGCCCATGGCGGAAGTTTCGATGACCCAAGGGTCTCCGGATCAGCGCCCAGTCTTCGGCGCTGCACCTTCGGCCACTCTGAAGTCAGCAGTAGGTCCACACCTGCAGGGAGGCCCTCCGGAAAACAACGTGGCGAGGGAAACTGGGGGATACTCTCCAGTTATGGCCATGAATGCGGACTGTGATGAAACATCAAATTTTGGGCACCCTAGTCTCAGATAAAACTATTTGTAGAGGATTTCCTCTTCCAAAATGTGATTTTGGGTACATGCAAAATGCAGAATTGTGTCAAAGTACAGTACAGGATTCCCTGATAGACCATCCAGCAAGCGGATAGCATGCAAGCTGCACAGCCAGTTTGCTAAGAACCTCCGCTATCAGCGATTTCTTCGCAAAGCCGTTCGATGGCCAGGGGAGTGTAGCAGCCATCAATAAACCTCAACCAGCCACTGTGGGGGATAACTCACACCAGCAGGAGATTCCAGTGAACCAACGTAGACATGATTACTAAAATGGATTCAATATTTATGGGAAAACAATATGAGTCAAAAGGGCTGCCTTTTTTGTTGTAAAAGTCCAACCAAACATGCAGCAATTGTGCAACAAAAAGTGATGGACATCTTTGGGGGGGCTCCATGGGGCTCCCATGTTTGGGGCCAAGCAGCAATTGCGACTGCATGAACTCCTTTTTCTTCTCTTTGGCCTGTGGAGAAGAAACTAATCACCACTGGATGCGTGGTTAAAATCGCTGCTTGGAGTGCATACAACCCATTTTGAATCATTTTGAGATAAACCCAAATTGAGTTGAAGGCACTGGGATCTGAGAACTTGATTTGTGAGACAAGCGCAGCTTTATTTGGGTGGTCAAAATTAGATACTCCTAAAACTGGATGGTAAATACTAAAAATAGACATTCCAATCTGTCTTCCCCTCTAGCCAAAAATGCTCCGCTGGTCCGGTCCTAGAAAACACACCATGGGGAATTCAACCGCTCCCAAAAACCAGCATTCAACCAATGCCCAGAAGAATGACTGTGAATTTCACAGCTATGAAAAATAAAATAATCCATATGTTTAATTTTTTCAGTAGGTAAATCATCTATACGTGGACCGCAGTGGCAGTAGGGCCTCAACTTTGGACCAGCTGAAATGTGGTGTGTTTGGGTCTGTTTCCCACGATATCCCCATTAAATGGTTGGTTCTCCTAATACGTTTTGTTTGTATGTTTTTGTTTTTATATTTATCAAATACATGTATATGTTTATATGACAAATAGATATATATATGTATATATATATATAATATATACATATATATATATATGGTGTATATGTATATATATAATATACATCTATCCCCGTTGTAACCGCATGGGTGGATCCTATCCCCCACCTTCAACTCTTCCCAAGAAGGGCCGTTGGAAGCCACGGACTTCACCGCTGGAGTTTCGGCCAAATCGGCGCCCAAGGGCGCAGGGGCGGCCACCAGCAGTCCACGGTCACCGTCCTGGGAAAACGAAACTAGTCCAAATTTGAGTAACATACGAGTATATAATGGTGATATCTATAATATGGAAAAAATACACATTACATAATATATAATTATATATATGAAATATTTAAAAAATGATCGTTATTGTTCTTCTTGAATTTTTGCTATATTGTGGGTGACAATGATAGATCTCCAACTATGTCATCCATGGTTATCCTCCAAACATCGAACAAGGTCGTACACTCGGCATGTTGCTGGCCCGTCCTGGGCTGCATACTTGGATTTCAACTCATCACTTGCAATAGCGCCTTCGAATAGAGAAGCAGACAGACTCAAAACATGGGTCCCAAAGCAGACCAGAAATTGGGTCATTCTTGAAATTAGAACACATAACCGAAGGAAATTTAAAAGTCAAATTTCCGACTTCTGAATCACGCAGCAACAAGGGTGAGAGCAGTAAGAATTAGAAGAGAAAGGGAATGAAGAGAAAGAGTCGGTAGAAAGAAGATCAAGGTGCGCAAAAGGTAGATAAGTCGCCAAACATTGTTTTTCCAATGTTTTGTTGCATGCGGCAGGATGAGCGATGAAAAACTGCACGCAATTGTGGCGCGAAGCAGATTTGGAAGTTAGAAAACTAAACGCACCTCAGTGGCGGAGCACTTTTGGACGTTGAGATGTTCAAACATTGCACATCGAAGTCAACATGTTAAAAACACCTCATTCTCGGAGCACTTTTGGGTGTTGAGATGTTGGAAAATAGCGAGCCGTTGTGGCGCGAAGCACATTTCGAAGTTGAAAGAGGTAGAAACTGTTGGTCCCGGACCACTTTTGGATGTTCAGATGTCGAAAAGGTGCACAACCTTGTGGCGTGAAGCATATTTCAAAATCAGAAGGTAAAAACACACCACGTTCGCACCACTGTTGGACGTTCAAATGTCAGTTTTCGTGGCAAGCGCATAACCCCACCACACAACACTAGGCTACACCGCGCTACAACTACAACTGCAACCACAACTACAATTACACTACACTATAGATAGATAGAGAATGATAGAGATAGATAGAGGTGGATAGAGAGAGATAGATAGAGAGAGAGA